GAGGAGGAGGAAGAGGAGGAGGAGGAGGAGAAGAAGAAGAAGAAGAAGAAGAGGAGGAGGAGGAGGAGGAGGAGGAGGAGGAGGAAGATTTAAAAAGTTGTTCATTGGAGATATTTAGAGCTATTAACTACATGTTGAAAGGTTATGTTACATACGTATGTTAGAGCCTAACTCCTTTCTTCGTGTGACTTATGTATTAATTGGTGAGAAAAACATCACTTTCTTTGTTATTTTGGGGGCGAGACTGAGGTTAGAACTCAGAGCCTTGTACTTGCTCCATGGATATTCTACCACTTGAGCCGTGCTGCCCTGAACTACATAGGTTTTTGTTTTTATTTTATTTTTTGCCATTTTTCAAGTAGGGTCTTTCCTTTACGTGTGGGCTAGGGTGAACCTAAACTCCCCTCCTCCTGAAGTCCTCTCAAAACTGGGATGACAGAGTACACTAAGGTACCTCCTACTTTTGATTGTTCCAGAAAGTCAGGTGAACTTCTTTTGCCCAGACTGGCTGCCACCCTATGTAATGCTCCCAACTGCTGCCCCCTGGGTAGCTAGGATTCCAGGTGTAAGACACTGCCCAGCGAGAAAGTATCCTCTTATGATTCCAATGTGTCTCAGAAAATGAAAATCCAATAATATTTAAGCATCAAGGAACTATAGGATTGTTTGCTGAAAGCTGTGCACAGTCATCTTTAGTCTGTTAGAGTATATTTTCCTGCTACAAAAACTTGCTAAAATTTGTGTGCTTGTTATGATTAATGTAGAGCCTTCAAAGCCTTCTACAACGGTTCTAAGCTTTTTTAAGAAAAAAAAGTGTTCTGAGTCAGGTGCTGGTGGCTCACGCCTACAACCCTAGCCACTCAGGAGGCTGAAATCCTGAGGATCAAGGTTCAAAGCTAGCTTGGACAGGAAAGTTTGTGAGACTCTTATTCCCAATTAACCACCAAAAGAAGATGGAAATGGCACTGTGGCTCAAGTGGTAGACTAGTAGCCTTGAGGGAAAAAAAAAAAAAGCTCAGGGACAGTGCCTAGGCCTTGCATTCAAACCCTAGGACTGGCACAGAAGGGAAAAAAAGCCAAAAGTGATGTGACCTACTACTACTTCTTTACAGACACATTTCTCCTGTAAATTTACCAGGCCTTTGAAATTAGGAATAAGTGAAAAAACAGTCACCTTTTGTTTAATATAAATGCCCATGTAGTAGTGAATATCTTGTCAAATCCATACCGAACTAATGCAAAAATGTGTTCAGATACAAATCATTTGCTAGTGACAGACAAGGAGATAAATGTGCACTGAGCAAACTGTCTTAAAACAGCATTTGCACACAACCTATCTCTCTCTGATCTCTATACTTGTTTATGAACAGTCATCCACATTTCTGGTGACATTACCTGAATATTAACAACTGCTTGTCCTTGAAGTGGGGGCACTCCCTGGTCGCTGGCGATGATGGTTATCCTGTAGGAAGGTCTATAGTCACGTGACAGGACTGTGCTTGTTCTTATTTCACCATTGTTGCTATCAATCTTAAAGTGATCGGAATGATCTTCTGCATACATACACACACACACAAAGTGAGATACTAATGTAAATTGACAGAAAACAAAAGAGCAATTAACCTAATATGTCTATGATTAACTGGGATAATTATTTGCTTTAAGTTCCATAACATAGTCTGAAGTATGGAACTTAAGGCAAACAATTCTGTAGTTTCTTGATGCTTGAGGACCTTACACAGTATATACATGACAGAAAGAGTATCTGGTTCCTTAGTACTATGTACAGTTTTTATGTATCCAATAAAAAATAAGATTTAATTTTGAATGCCATTAAACATATAGACAAGATACATAACAGATTTTTAAATTTCCTATTTAAAAAATAGTAGGTAGAGCCAGGCACAGGTGGCTCACACCACTAGTAATCCTTACTCAAGTGGCTAAGATCCAGGAAGGTTGAAGTTTGAAATTTTTTTTAAAATTTTTGCTTACATTTGTTATTGTTGTTTTGTGTGCCAGTCCTGGGGCTTGAATTTAGGGCCTGGGCACTGTCCCTGATCGATTTTGCTCAAGGCTAGCACTCTACCAGTTGACCCATACTTCTACTTCCAACCTTTTGGTAGTTAATTGGAGATAAGAGTTTCAGGGACTTTGCTGCCCAAGCTGGCTTCAAACCCATACATCAGATCTGAGCTTTCTGAAAAGCTAGGATTATAGGCATGAGCCACCAGCACCTGGCTTATGTTTTGTTTTAATCTGATGTTGTTTTCAAAGTTAGTGAGAGAATGCTAGGTAATTGAAAGAGAATGAATTTTCCCAGAAGAAAACAGGAATCTGATAGCTGACAAAGGACTGGGAATTCTAAATGCTGCCAACCCCCTAGGCGAGCTTTACCTGGAGAGAGAGAATAGCTCACTTCTGCATTTCTTCCTTCATCAAGGTCCTTGGCAAACACTGTTGTAACCAATGTATTTACCGGCTGACCTTCCAGAACCTGTCATGAAAACAAATGGCTTATAGTGATTCAGTGTAATTTCTAAAGAAGTCTCAATGGACTTATAAATGCAATAAGGAGGTCCTTACCTCCTTAGTAACAAGTTGACAAGAAATGTAATCATTACCTTACTTATGTAACTGTAATTCCTCTTTATATCACTTTGACAATTAAAAAAAAAGAAGTTATATGGTAGTACATGGGGAAAAAACCTACCTCACAAATTTAAATATTTTACTGTTTGAACAAATTGAGGCATCTGAGTTAATTCTGCAAATAAGTCAGTAACAATAGAGGAAGTCAAACTAACTAAAAGTTTATATTTTTAAAGGAATTTATATTTTTGCGTTTATTTAGTGTATGTATTTTATATAGCTTATATATTTTAAAGGATATTTTATTTTTTTGAAGTATTCTGGCATCAACTCATTTATCAGCTTCCAGGCAATTGTTTAACAGGTGATTGTTACAATCTAAAACATGATCAAGATAAATCAAACTGTTTACCTTAAATATAAGTATGAATTCCAGGAAATATACTTTACACAGGAAATGTATCATTAATGATAGGATCTATCCTGGAATACTGAAATGAACACATGAAGTTCAACTGTCCAATAAAGCATAGGATATTGATACTCTAATTATAAATCAGTACAATAATATAATGATGTCTTGTTTGGGTGGAATTTTTCTTTGAACATTGCTTTTATAGCTCAGTCTAAAGTTACTAACTTCCTCAATATCTATTTTTCATTTTCTTTTCTTTTTTTTGGGGGGGGGTCTGGTTGTGGGGCCTGAACTCTGGGCCTGAGCGCTGTCACTCAGCTCTTCAGCTCAAGGCTAGCACTCTACCACTTGAGCCACAGTGCCACTTCCAGCTTTTTTTTTTCTTTTTGCTTATGTGGTGCTGAGGAATCGAACCCAGGGCCTCAGGCATGCCAGGCAAGCACTCTACCACTGAGCCACCTTCCCAGCCCCTATTTTTCATTTTCTTTCTTTCTTTCTTTCTTTTTTTTTTGTTGGTCGTGGGGCTTGAACTCTGGGCTTGGGCGCTGTCCCTCAGCTCTTCAGCTCAGGGCAAGCACTCTTCCGCTTGAGCCACAGCGCCACTTCTGGTTTTCTAGTGGTTTATTGGAGATAAGAGTCTCATGGACTTTCCTACCCAGGCAGCTTTGAACCTCGAACCTCAGATCTCAGCCTTCTGAGTAGCTAGGATTACAGGCGTGAGCCACTGGCGCCCAACCTCTATTTTTCATTTTCTATTACACATATTTGAGCACAAGTTGAATGTCCAGTTCAACAGTTTTGAAATCATAGCTACTGGATGTTTTATTCATATAATCCATCCATTTAACAAATTATGAGTGCTTCTAAATACATTTGTTAATATATACATGAAAATTTCGTGTTTATTATGAACACGAAAGTTTACTGATTTACCATGTACATTAGAAAAGACCCACACATAGAAGTAAAAGGACAAGTAAAGAAAACATAATTAAAAGTTGGTATATGTGCTCAAAAGGACCAATGTTTAAATCTCTGGATGTTCACTGATCCATTTAAGAATTACAGATTCTGCTTTCAACTAAAATCTTTTTTTTCCTAAAATTATATTTTGATTATCATTAAGTAGTTACACACACTGTTACAATTCACTGTGTCTGTTTATGAGTACGCTTCTTGATCAATGTCAGCCCTTTCCTCATTCTTCCCCATCTTTCGCATCCCAATCCCTCCCCTCAAATTCCTTGTTGCATCATATATACACTGAATATAACTGCCTTCTCCCCACTTCCCACTCTTCATGCATCTGCCCTCCCTCTTCTTGACCTCCTCCACACAACTTGGTCATCTTGTTACCCTGAGTTATCGATTATCTTAGTGGCATGCCCCAGTTACTGTCAAGGAGCCGGGCACAGAGGAGCAAACGAAGACTGTGCTGTCTGCATACACAATCAGAACTACGGAACTCATTGTCTAACTGTGAAAGTGCAGTTCCAGAGCGCACGTATATTCATTTTCTTTTAACTGTTTTAACTTGCTTGCACATACACAATTTCTAGTCTAGAAATGCAGGCAATTACATGTTCTACCACAAGATGGTGCTCAAAACAAATGACTAAACACACTACAAGGTCACTGCAAGGCTACTGCTCAAACCTTGATGGAAAATTCCTTTCCAGGGAGACACTGGGGGAAAAACGGCCTGTTATCATTGGTGTCGATGACAGTGACATAAACCACGGTGGTGGCATTCCGAGGTGGGGAGCCATGGTCTGTCACTAGGACAGTCAGCTGATGGTGGCCCTGATGCTCACGATCCAATGCTGACCAGCTGACCAGTTCACCTGTGATGTAATAAAGACACAAACACTGTAAGCTTGAAATATTGGTACCACCAGCCATACTTGAAATAGTCCATAGAAAGGAAAGCTCTGCACCCAGGCACCACCGCCAAGACCATATACAGAGTACTTTGGGTAGCACTGAAAGAAGTGACTGAAGTTGCTCCTGAAAATGCCACTTAACATTTGTCATTCTCATTGCAACAATGAGATGTACAAGTTGTTATGTCGAAAAATGAACTTTACAACTTTGGTCGGGCGGGGCGGGGGGGAGATGGGAAGGGATGGGAAGGGGGGATGGGAAGGGGAAACAAAGGAGGAAGCAACAATGCTTGATAAGAAATATACTTATTATCTTGCTCATGTAATTAATTGTAACCCCTCTGTACAGTATTTTCACAATAAAAAAATTGTCATTCTTTGTATTTCAAATTCTCTACCATCGCTCCTTTGAATCAAAAATAATGTATGAGTTCATGTTGAAAAGGGTGACATAAATCAAGATGAATTGTATTCATAAATTGCTTTGTTAAATGGCAACTCCTTTATACAACTACTTTGAGATAATAATTTTTTAAAAGGTGAGTTTATGGCAGCGAGTAATATGGAAGATTTAAAATGACTGCTTATCCTCTTTATGACGCTGCAGAGAATGACAGGAAGCTTGTGAATTATGGCACTGGATTCTGAGTTTGGGATGGGTACCAGGGACTCATGCCTGCAATCTAACTTGTTTGAGAGGCTGTGGTTCAGAGGACCACCATATGAGGCCATTTGGAACATATACATGGGTCTTCTTAATCAATAGCTGGGCACAAATGACATGTGACTGTCACCCTAGCTATGAGGGAAGCTAAGATCAGGAGGACCATGGTTTAGGCCAGCCTGGACAGAAGTCTGTGAAACTCCATCTCAATGGAAGAAGCTAGACATAGTGGCTACACCTGTCTTTCCAGCTATGGTTAGAAGCCTAAAACAGAAAGGTCATAGGAAAGCACATGTTTGGGCAGGAAGCAAGGCCACCATCTAAAAAGCAATCAGTGTAAAGCAGAGCTGGAAGCATGACTCAAACCCCACCAGCTCTGAGTTCTAGGTCTGAATTCCACCTCCGCATCTAACCACCTTCTGTGCCTACCTTCTAAGGCCGCTGCTGGAAACAATGCAATCATTTATAACTTCTCAGTATAGGCGCTGAAAACAATGCATTCATTTATAGCCTGCAAAGATTCTAACAGTCATTTATAGCACCATAAAGCACTTTAAGAGCTATAAGATCTTGTTTTGTTCTGTCAGATTTTTGTTTTGTTTTATAAGCCACAAATTCCTGGCAGTTGTGATGACTACTTTACAATAATGGAAAAATACCTTCCTTTCTGAAAGTCTTACACTTTCTTACACTTTAGGTAATGTCTTGTTATTTGTGTATGACATACTTATTTTGATCTCACAAAGCCTAGGTATAGCAATGGATAGTAACTTCCCAAATAGCTACTAATGATTGACAGCCCTTCCTTTTTATATTCTTCCTAGAAATGTATGCTCTTGGGTCAGTTTCCTCATTTCTCCCATGGCCGTTTAGATATGAAGTCCTAGTCACTTCTCCCTCATGCTAGGACTTCAGAAAAAGACAAATGAGCTTTCTATTAGCCCAGCTCCTACTAGGAAGCTCAGCCAAACCCTGGTTCCCACATCATTGATAAGGAAAACTATCAGTGAGCAACTAAATACAAAACAGCTAGCGCAAAGCCCTCTGACTGCTGACTCTTCATGGAAATACAGAGTCATTGCACAAAAAAAGAAAGCTTCAATGAGAAAGGAAATTCACATTTGAATAAGTTACTGCGTTGACAAGCTTAAGTTCAGTATTTAGTGTAACTATTTACTCTCTAAACTATTTAAAGGCCATTTGTTATAAGGAGGAGCACAATAAAAATCAAATACATGGAGCCAGGCATGGGTGGCTCACGCTTATAATCCTAACTGCTCTGAGGGCTGAGATCTGAGGGTCATGGTTCAAAGCCAGCCAGGGCTGGAAAATCCAAGAGACTCTTATCTCCAATAAATTACTCAGAAAAAGCTCAAGCGGTACAGTACTAGCCCTGGGCACAAAGAGGCTCAAGGACAGAGCCTAGGCCCTGAATTCAAGCCCTGGGATCAGCAAAAAGAAAACAAATCATATACACAACTGCATTTTTCCCCCAAAGTTGCAATCAGCAATTCTCTGAAAAGCCCAAATCCTGAATAGTATAGAGTTTTAAGTCAGAGCCAGAGAGGAAGGGACCATGGGGCTGGCCTGGGTGGGGCCTGGTGGAGCTGAGAGCTAGAATCCAGGTCACTAAGAAGACAGCTCAGAAGGGCAGGGTCACTCCTCCATGCCCTGAAGAATGCCCTCCCCTCCCCCTCGTACACCCTATCATCCCTGGAGAGTGAGAACTTTGTCTTCAAGTCCCTTCATTCACCTGACTTAGATCTCTGTCCTTCAGAGGAGGACATGGAACATGCCAGGAATTCCCTCCTATGCTCACATAAGGACATTGAACTCTGAGGTTAAGCTACTTGCTGAACACCACACAAGATGAGGAACGGACTCCTGGCCTTCTGAATCTGGGTGCTGGACTAATTTTAGGAGAAGGGAAAATTCAGGAGCCAGCTACCATTAGTACATTGAAACAAGTATTTGAGGACATAGAAGTAGTCCCGTGGGCTAAGATGCAAACAGGGCCAGACTGTGCAGACTGGGCCCTGAAAAAGGGGCGTCCGTTGAGGGGTTGGATGGGGGCTGAAGTCCAGCCTTCAGTTCTCCTGGAGAGCCACATGTCCCGGAGAAAAGCTCCACCTACTGGAGGAAGGGAAAACTTCTCCTAATTCACACAGGGCTTGGAGAACAAAGACACGCAGTTCCTAAGAACATCATCCAAATTCTGTCCAATTAAAGGGCAGAGCACCATTACCTAATCACCCAGCTTATACAATATGACAAATTTTCATATTTAACTCTTAAATTGGTAATTTGATAAGGAATGGCATCACCATCATTATTCCCCTTTCCTCTAGGATCTCTTAGCAACCTACACACTTCTAGTGATTCTGAAATCATCTCTACAGGTGACATATTTCATGAAATATGTCTTGATGTATTGCTAAAGTCTACAAATTAAAAAGAATTAATTAATGAGAAAAACCTTTGCCCAGGATTTATTCAATCCAATTTTCTCTGTGTGTGTGTGTGTGTGTGTGTGTGTGCGCGTGTACTTGCACGCACAGATGTGTGCAGAGGTGTGCATCATTACTGGGCCTTGTACTCTGGTTTGGCTTTTCTGCTCAAGGCTGGTGCTCTACCATTTGAGACACACCTCCACTTCCTGCTTCTTGCTGGTTAACTGGAGATAAGACCCTCATGAATTTTTCTGCCTGGGATGGCTTTTGAGCCCTGATCCTAAGAGTTCAACCTCCCAAATAGCTAGGGTTACCAATCTGCTTTAAGTGTATAAAAGGCGAGTATACCTCTATGGTGAATACTGCAAGCAAATGCAATACAGTTGTAAGAATTTCTGTATCAAAGACATATTTAAACATAGAAAAGGAACAATAAAAATTCTCAGCGGAGGATTTTTTTCAGCCCCACTATAATTTCATGGGACCATGTGTGAACATGGAGTTCATGTTTGATTCAAACATTGCTACACAGGCCAAATGGATTATCAACAGTGAGAGAGCAGTTACAAAACTATGAATCGTTAGAGAAATTGCTTTCTATTTTAAAACCACACAATCTCAGAATAATCAATGCACTTGCTAAAAATTTTAGCTGTATGTTTGCATCCATACTACAGATAAAGATTCTAGTTTTCTCAATCTGAATGGAGAGGAATAGGCAGGAGCTACAAAAAGCTACCTGTGTTGGGATTCATCTTGAAGAATTTCCCATCTGACAAAAGGAAGTATGAGAGTTGTCCATTCTTTCCAGAGTCAGAGTCCACTGCTGTGATTTGGCCTATGACCCCTAAGGGAACAGGGCTCTCCAGGACTTTCAGAAACAATGGGCCATGCAAGAAAGTAGGGGAATTGTCATTCTCATCTAGGACGTGAACAGTTACTGAGGTGCTCCCATTTTGTACCAGTCTGTCCTCTGGGATATAGGCAAATGCTCTAAGGCTGTATGCTCGTGTCGATTCATAGTCCAGTTGTCTCCGGAGATAGATCCAACCTGTATGAGGGTGGATCCCAAATGTGGCAGAGTCCACACTGGCTTCCAGAGAATAGACCACCTGCAAATGTGGGCGTAGTAGGCCCAGGGGCCAGGCCTGGATTTGCAGCATCTGTGCCATCACTGACAGAGACTCACGAACTTCCACTTGATAGACCCAATTTTCAAAGGTCAGGGCTGGCCTTTGTTCTTGTTTTTCAACAGCTACAGTCAGCACCATCTGAGATGAGTGAGCGGGAGCCCCATGGTCCTCAGCTACTAGGATCAGGGTGTGCCTCTGTGGTGCATGGCTTCCCAGATTCCCATGGAGGAATACTACACCAAGCCTGGAGTCAATGGCGAAGATACTTGGGCTTGGGCTTGCAATGGTGTACCAGATGAGTCCATTTGGGCCACTGTCTTTGTCTTCTGCACGTGCAAGGTACAAGGCTGTGCCAGGAGGTGTGGTCTGGGGTATCCTAATCTCATCAGAGGCCATGGGAAACTCAGGGGAGTTGTCATTGACGTCCATCACTGTGATGTTGACTTGGGTGCTGCTGTAGGTTGGGGAGCTGCCGAGCTGGGCCTGGACGGTGAGGACCACCCCAGGCTGTGACTCGTGATCTAGACGCTTCTGTGTGTGGATAGTGCCCAGCCATGGGTGAATGGAAAACTTCCCATCCAGATCACCAGAGGAGATCTGGTAAAAGATTGGTTCTGAAGAATCTGAAAAGACAAGGAGTTCAGTGATTGTATGCCAAAGGAATCAACCTGCTAGAAAGGCAGAAATTGGAAGTATTATGATAGGTTGTCTGCGTGGACTGGTGCTGGATGTCTTCCTTCCTCCCTCTTGAATGTCTGTTAGGAAGTTGACACAGGATTTAAGATTTCTTAGTGGCCAATGGAGTACACAGTAGATAGTTTCTAGCCATAGGCTTCATCACACTTGTTTGTTCTTGCATTAAGAGGGAAAAATAGAAAATAATCTGGACACCTTATTTACCTAATTGTGGAAGCCAGGTTAAGTTAGTATTTCTCCACAATATCTACCTATGAATGCCAACATTATTTTGCAGCGGTTGAGAGAGAGATAGGAGAGAAAACAAGGGGCCCAGGGGGAGGACAGACTCTAGGAGGAATTACCTTGTAGGCCATATTCCTGTAAAAGGACCCTTTACACACTTGAAAGAGAGGCAGAAAAGGATGTTTGCTCAAGTTGTGTTTGAGCCAACAAAAATATGTATCATTGTAATCAATAGTAAAAATGAAATGTTTAACTCTAAGTTGAAATAGTCTGCAAATTGTTTATCTAATGAAGTAGACTAGTATATAGTTGGTCTGGAAAGCTGTTCATTGTATTTATATATACATGTGCATGTGTGCATATGTTTGTGTGTGTGTGTACTGGTGAGTAGATTACAGGAAATGAAGGATATGAACCTTTGACATTATAATTATTCTGTATTGTATTAAGTTCCTTTTAAAAATACCCATTAGTTTTGTTATCTGAATAATATTGGAGGATAGATGGAAACAAGATCCAAGAACAGAGCAAGCCATGGGTTGTACTGGCTCCATTCTTGTAGGCAAAGAGAAAAGGATTTGTGTAAGATACTATGGCCCAAGAAAATACAGAAACTTTTCCAAAAAATGGACTGTGATGCAGTGTAAGAATTACTACTTACTCGAAGACTCCCTTGCCTTCACTGTTCCCACAGGACTGGCTGCAGGCACATCTTCGTAAACTGAGAACGTATACTTAGGTCTTTCAAATTCTGCAGGAGCCAATGTGTTCTGGAGAACATGAATAGTGACTTCTGCATTAACAGCAGCTGTAAGCCCACCACCATCTCGAGCACAGACCATCAAAAAAAGCGTAGTAGGCTCCAAATGATTGATTGGCGATGTCAAGTAAATAATTCCTGAATGGGGGGAAAAGAGTTGACAAGCAGATGTCAATATGCAGTAGATACTGTTGGTAACATCAGTGATGTTTAGTTGTATGTGTCAACTTGTTTGGGCCCTGGGGTACCCAGATATATAACCAGACATTATTTTTAATATGGAGTATTTATTTATTGGAACAAATGTCAAGGGTTTTGTTATACAATGGACATTAACAATACTTTAATTTTTTCTGAAAATGTCTCACTTGAGATCAGACATATATTGTGAACCCACCTAGCAGGTTGTTTTGAGGTATTTCTGTGACAATTAGGTAACCAATTTAATTAATGGGATAAATTTGGACCATGCAATTATTATCTCAGATTTCAAATGTGGATCTCCCTCCAGCATTCAGGACTCTCTATATAAACGAGTGAAGTTTGTAATTTTTTTGTTGGTGGTGGTGGGGCTTGAACTCTGGGCCTAGGCACTGTCTCTGAGCTCCTCAGCTCAAGGTGATTGCTTTACTACTTAAGCCACAGCACCACTTCCAGTTTTCTGGTGATAAATTGGAGGTAAGTATCTCTCGGACTTTCCTGCCCAGGCTGGCTTTGAACTCTGATCCTCAGATCTCAGTCTCCTGAGTAGCTAGGATTATAGGCATGAGCCACTGGTACCCAGCTGTAATTATTTTTTTTAAACCTTACCTCTAAACATTCCAAATGTTAGATTTCTAATTCTATATGCTAATTTTATGTTTTCAGCTGTAGGTTCATTTGTTAATGATTTTGATTAAATCTTAGCAGAACCAGACTTGGTCCATAAACCTGGCATCCTAGACATTTTCCATCTGGGGAACTGATTCTTAAAAGCAAGACCAGAAATCCATTCTTTAGAGGTGATGAACCAGTATGAGACCATGGAGAGTTCGTCACAATTAGACAGAGCTAGGTTCAAACTGTAGTTCTGTCAATTCCTACGCAATTTCATAAACCCTCTGAGTCTCTTTAGCATCTGTAAGCTTACTGTAGAATCAGGCCAACACCATGTATTGTGCATAGCTTCTGTAGAGTCAATGAAAGAGCATAAATAAACAAAGCACCCAGTATAGAGCCAGATACACACTGACTTCAGAGACTTAACTCCTGCCTCTCCCTGCTGAGCACAGAAGTAGCTCAGGTAGGAAAGTCTGTGAGACTTGTATCTCCAATAAACTATCAAAAAAAGCTAGAAGTGAAGCTGTGGCTCAAGTGAACAAAAGAAGCTCAGGGACAGTCCCCAAGTCTTAAGTTCAAGCCCCAGGATTGGGTGCGCAAATGCGTGCATGTACACACGCACACACACACACACACACATGCATGCATGTACACACACACACACACACACACACACACACACACACCTTCTGTGGTAAGGGAAAGTTGAGAGAACTAGAGTGGCATCAATACCCTGTGAAATTCCATGAAAAGAATACTAAGAAATTCAATAGAAAAGTTGACCAGTAGCCTACATTCCTAACAGCCTGCCTCTGCCTACCAACACAGCAAGGGGCAGCTCTGGTGCCTCATGGCATGCTGACATATCCACTCCTCTACGAATGGGGCAAACCCAATCATCAGAAGTCTTATCTAAACCAATTTTGGATGGATACATAGTTTTCATTTGTCATATAACTGTGGGTGGTCCTATTGCTTTTGTTTTTTTTCCTATTAAGTTTACAATGTGCCCCATTACTATTATTATTTGATGAGTCCCTTCCAGATACTGCCACAGGTTGTCAGTGGGAATGTGGGCCTGTAGGTCCTTTCAGGGAGGTCCAGATACACTGCTAGTGGACAAAGACACAAGAGTGACATTTTAGCTGTCGCTTCCTCTTGTGGGCATTTGAAATACTGTGATAACTCTGCGCATTGCCATTCCCTCCATTGGACCACAAGTGCTAATGACTGATTCAGTTGTTCCTTAGAGCAGAAACAAAACTCCTTGAAGATCTAGACCCAACTTGAGGTGGTCCAGTATAAAGGTCATAATTTTAGCAACAGTAGAGAAAAGAATCATCTATTACTTGAAGACTGCATGCTTTGTAAACTTTGTAAATTCTGTAAACATCATGCACTTAGAACCTCAGGATATGACTTCATTTGGAATACGGTCTTTGACAATGAAATCATCCTAGATGTACAAAGGCCACCATTAGGGGAAGCAAACTAGGAGCCAAGTCATAGCCATATAAGGAGTTGTTTTTTACAGAGAGCACTCGTCACGAGGAAGACGGAAGGCGGAAGCCCGCGCCATCTTAGGTCGCAGCCGCACCACGCGGCCCTGCCATTTTTGCTTTTGCAGCCGTCTTTGGTCGCGGCTCCCGCAGCTCTCCACACAAAGGCCACCATTAGGGGAGAGATTTGTAGTGTGCTGCCACAAGCCAAGGAATGCCAGGGCATCCTGGCAGCCATTAGAAGCCAGAAGGCAAGTAGGAATGGGGATAGCTTCTCTGTCAGAGTCACCAAAGGAAACTAACTCTATGGACATCTTGTTTGCAGACTTTCCTCCTCTACAACTGAGAGACATTTCAATGCTCTTTGAAGTCACTCAGTTTGGGTTTTAACTCTTGGAAGCTGACCAAGTGGTGAGCTGACCCCACATGATATGAGGACTCTGAAGCCAGAGAGCATATGTTCCAATCCTGCCCCAGAGACAAGCAGAGTTATCTCAGATAGATAAGCCTCTTCTCTTTCCTGGATCATCTGCTCTCCTGTGAAACAAGATAAAACGGTTTCCACCTGGAAGTTTGGATAGAACTATTAAAAGAGATACGAGAGGGAGAGTACAGAGACCAATTTCTGGCACATGGTGAATGCTTACTAAATACAGTCAGAACTCAAGTTTAGGTGAAAGACCCTTTGCTGGCTTGTAGCTGTGATTCTAGATTCATTCAGAATGAATAAAACAGAATTGTATAAGTAGTATGAAACAGAATAAGACTTCATTGTGTCAAATAGGATGAGTGTTCTGAACTGAGGGAGGAAGCCCGCAGAACAGAAAAGGGTGGAGGGAAGCAAAAACAGAGAAAAACAAGGAAGGGTTGCTTCAAAGTCACTTCTGTTGTAAGGGATCAAGGAGGCTTCCTTGGCCAGCATGGGGATTTGGCCCAGTTTCTCTCCCCTGACTTCCTGGAAAGTAACATAAACAACTAAGATTCCTCCTGCTGATGGTGAGCCCTAATGTGATTCCATTTTGGTTCATCTGTTGGGTCTGGCGTTGGAGCTCATCACCAACTGTACATTTTATGTAACAATTGTTTGACATTATTATTGACCAACCAGGCCCCTGTATATTTGTATTTTCAAAAGTATATAATATAGGGAGATCATGACAAGTGATAATGGATATAAACTCTTTTTTATAAATAAAATTAGGTGCACTGTATAAACTCATGTCTCTGTTATTCTTATTTTTTAATGTCTATTTTGGGTTCTGTGGCTAAAGAAAATTATAACCTTTCCAGAGAACCTCATGTATTTTGTTTTATTTTGGGGACAGCTGCAACCAAATATTGATTCACATGATATTCATTTCAGTGTGTTGCTATAATTATGTTCCAGAAAACAGACACACAGTCAATTGACAACTGCCATTTAAATAATAAAGCACAAGTCTGATTTTTGTCTTGGAATTTCAGGAAAAACAAAAAGATCCATAAGCAATTCCAGGAAAATCTATGGGAAGATGGTGATACATAAAAATGCCTTCCCCTAGCTTTAATTCTCTTCAACTTCTTGGCTCTGTTTCAGAGCACATAATGCTATGTGATTCAGGCCACCAGGCCACCACAACTTCCCTGAGCTGAGCCTCTGTGCCTTCCCTGGAATTAAAGGACACTGGGGAAACCCACCTGACATATAGAGCACCGTGGAAAAAGTCATCTAGCATTAAGCACATGGCAAGTGTTCATTACCTTTCCAAAGAAATCATTCTTACCCACGGTAATGTGTTTCTTTGGTTATATATATATAGATATAGATATATAGATAGATAGATATACACACACACACACACAGATATGTATATATATATATATATATAAACATTTTTTTGCAGTAGTAGAGTTGAACTCAGATACTCTACCACTTCAGCCACACCTTTAACCTTTTCTGCCTTAACTGTGGCTCAAGGTTTTGCCTGAGGTTGGCCTCTGACCTTAATGCGTCCATCTCCATCTTATTTCAGTGAGTTTACAGAAATGAACCACCAGGCCCAGCCCTGAATTCCTTTCATCTTAAAATCTTGACATAATAGATTTTATCACATTATACTAACTTAGCTTATATGCTTAACATCTAACATCAGAAACATTAAAGAATCATTTGGAAACATTTTCCCACAAAGCAGCCATATACATAATTTAAAAACACTTAGTGAACATTCCTGTTTGTTTTTGCTGGGTGTTTTCTCCACCTGTATTTTTTTTCCATTGTGCATCAGCTGTCTACCTTCTGAGGCTGATTTAAACCGCAGGCACAGGATGGTCCCAAAAGACATAAAAGAGAATTAACACCCTGGCTCAGAGAGACATGCATTTTGCATGTTAAACACCTGCTAACCATCCTTTCTAAATTGGCTATTTTACATTTTTAAAATAAAAATAAGCTGTTGGGCATCAGTGGCTCAGACCTGTAATCTGAGCTACTGAGAGGCTGAGATCTGAGGATCAAGGTTCAAAGCCAGCCTGTGCAGAAAAGTCCATGAGACGCTTTCTCTCCAATTAACCACCAAAACTGATCAGAAATGGAGCTGTGGCTCAAGTGATAGAGTGCCAGTCTTTTTTTTAAAAAAATACATTTTTTATTGTAAAAATACTGTACAGAGAGGTTACAGTTACATGAGCAAGGTAATGCAGAATGCCAGTCTTGAACAAAGAAGCTCAGGGACAGCTCTTAGGTCCTGAGTTCAAGCCCCAAGACCGACACAAAAAATAAGCAAGTAAATAAATAAATGTGATCTACAGATTCAATGCAATGACCATCAAAATCCCAAT